CACACGAACAGTGACTACCTTCTGGCTATAGCTTCTAATGATGTTTGTCCCGATTGTCTAAGAAAAATACGTCATTTTCCAAATTATTTCCCATAAAAGTTTTCTTCTCTCGATGAAAGATGTAACTGATGTTATTTATTATCAGGAGACACGTCGGTGAAAAGTAGAGACAATACTAAAACTGTACATATTTAAAATGAAAATGAAATGTCTTCTTGTATTTCTTGCAGAAGAGTCACACACAATTTTACCTTTATTCTGTGTACCTGTATAACTTATGATATGAAACAACTCTTACTTTGAACAGATTAATTGTGAAAAGTGATAATCATTTTAAAAATGTATTGAAGCTTGTTCGATTTGTTTCTATGTTTAAGACGCCTTCACTGACGAACCTTGTGGTGCAGAGTTACAAAACTGGTGGTTCACTGACGAACCTTGTGGTGCAGAGTTACAATACTGGTGGTTTACTGACGAACCTTGTGGTGCAGAGTTACAATACTGGTGGTTCACTGACGAACCTTGTGGTTCAGAGTAACAATACTGGTGGTTCACTCCAATCTAGTCCATAGTAAATAGAACGACTGACAATCTAGTCTATAGTAAATAGAACGACTGACAATCTAGTCCATAGTATATAGAACGACTGACAATCTAGTCTATAGTAAATAGAAGGACTGACAATCTAGTCTATAGTAAATAGAACAACTGACAATCTAGTCTATAGTAAATAGAACGACTGATAATCTAGTCTATAGTAAATAGAAGTACTGACAATCTAGTCTATAGTAAATAGAACGACTGACAATCTAGTCTATAGTAAATAGAATGTAGCCAAGTTTTCAGTTTTAACTGTAAGATTGATGGGATGAAGACCAAATACCAAGGTTATACAAGTTTCACTAAACACTAACATTTAAAAAAAAAAAAATGAATGAAATATCACAAAAGTTACTACAAATATCAATCGAGTGAAAAATAGATAAACGCTTCAAGGCTGAATGTCAAAGGATACATTGTAGCTTAGTTCAGGAGTCCTCATTCCTCTCAAATGTAATGATGGAATACCACCAAACTTCTTACATTTACTGGAGTTGAAAGTCGCATAAATGCCAATTTACCAATGTTTCAGAAAAGAAAACAAATATTTCTTTTATACAAACATGTTCTTTTCTATCTCTGTTACCGTCTACAAATGACTATCGTTCCTTAGATTGCAGCATCCCTGCTTCCCCAACGCACAGTATTTACATTGTCGCAGTCGATTCGTTATTCAGGCTTGCTCCGAATATCATGATTACCGTGATCAACGTCGACTGCTGACAGACACTTAGATCACAGGTTTTAAAAAGATACATGTTATAATGAAGGTCAAGTACATTTTTTATCCCCATCATGATCTCATTAGAAAATTTGTTGTGTGTGAGATGAATGTTGCTATTCTTTATTATGTTTATTAGTGTGCATTGCAGTTTTGTTGTCGCTACCCCCACTCCCTCTTTGACAACATGACATTACTTGGATTTGACTTAGGCTTTCATCGCAGAAGCATTTACCCTTCAAAAACACCTGGTCTTACTATCCTTGTCTTGCACTTCTTCAGGGGTATTTGTGTAAATCATCGCCTCGTTCACAGGTTGCGCACGATTTTTTCAATTTTCAGTAAACAAAATATGGTTTTGGTGTCATAGAAACTTTCACCAATAGAAAATAGATGGCATGTCTCCATACCTCCTTATATGGACTTTGACATGTTGGTTGACATCTAACGTTAATACCAGTAGATATAAGCTGCTGTAGAACCTACAGTCACAACATCCTTTCTTTCCAACCGAAATAAACAACACAAACAGATAACTGCATTAAAAGTTTTTTTATTTATTGATAGATTTTCTGGGAAGTGATTCTGGTATACTACTATCACAAATAAGTTTTATACCACCACAAGTACCCGTCATCTGTAACAAACCCTCGCTCCCCTCTCTCTCACATGGACTCTTCCCGCTCCCCTAAACCTAGACATAACACTTGTCTGTTGTTCTATAAACTTAACACTAAAAATCTTTCACACATTAGAATAAAACTTTCATCAAATAATTGCCAGTTTCATATTTGAACACAAGATGTTTACGAGCATAAGATATAATAAAAATCAACAGTAAAATATGAGGTTAACAGTCATTTGGCAAACCTGGAGAAAAGTCCATCTTTGAAAGTTGAGTGTGAAAGAATGTCAATGAAATAGAAAGAAAAAAGTACTCAAGGACGGAGAGAAAGAATGAGAATAGAGAAAATTTATGCAACTGTTTGAGATATTATCTACCCCGTTACATTGGAAGAACAATCTCTCAACAAAAGACAGGGTGAAAGATAGGGGATAGTATTATAACCAAACCTCTGGTCCCCCGTTAGAGACCGCTGGGGCTAACAGATGACACTGGCTGGAATGTTGGGAGCTTCAGTCTTCTTCCATAATTCTGTTAAAAATTCTTACACCTTTTGAGATCATTGAGAAAACTGAAAATGTCGTCTGCTCACAAGCAGCGCTTCCATTACATTTCCCACAAATTCCACTCCGAGACAGTGTGAAAACAATACATGATATTGACATCCCATAATAGTAACATATCCGACCACAACTGCTGAGAACCGACGGTGTTACTCTGGTGATCACAGGTTCCACTATTATATTGATAAAATGTCTGAATCGAACGTACCCTGTACCACAGCGGTTTCAAAATATTGTCTTGTCTTGGTATTTCTCCGGAAAATGTCCAAATTAGATTCAACAATTTTGGTAAGGGCGTAAGATCGCATGTTTGTAGTCCATGGCCTATCACCAGAGCAACACGTGTACGTAGGTTGGCAGCATCAGGTATGCCTTCGTCATTATCACACAAACACTCCCTTGGTATGCTAGGTTGAATTTTGGCAGTACAAACCCCTGTACCATAAAATATACATGATATTTTTGCATATGGTTTAAAAAAGAACAAGTCAAAAAACAGTGGCATGCATCCAACATACGACAAAAATTGTATGTAAATTGTAACACATATGTTACATTACAATGAAGACAATGATATGAAAACCCAGTTATAGTAACATGGATGCTTGATCCAAATGTAGAGCTGTATGTTTGATAAATGATTTGAAATTCATTCACATTTTGATTCTAAATGAAATTTGTCTTCAGTCAGAAAACTGATCAGTAAAGATCACTGTTCAACCAATCACAGAGGTCAAGACAATGTTTTACTTATCCATAGGGTAGCAGAGTCCTACTGAGCAGTAATTATAAGGATAAGAGTTATAACACTCAGCAAGGATTAATATTATAATTATTATTGGAGATCAGGGTTCTGCTGATTAATGAGGACAGGACATCTACTGATCAGTAAGGATAAGGGTTATCATGACCATTGAGGACAGTGGCATAATGCTTATTAATAATCAGGGTTCTTACGATTTTTTTTTCTATTGATCAGTTAGGATCAGGTTTTCAAAAATCAGTGTCGATTAGGGTGAGGACCAGTGTTATAATGCTCAGTTAAGATCAAATTATAATGATGAGCATCAGGGTTATAATGGTCAATGAGGATCAGGATCATAATGATTATTGACGTTCAGGGTCCTACTGATTGGTCTAAAAGGTTCTAGATATCGGTAGGAACATGACCCCACTGAGAGTGGTAATCCAAGGCTCACTGGTCTGTCTACAACTGCTAACATTGTGTGTCTTGGTTTATGAGCAAAGTATGGAAGACTCACTTGCTCATCATAATGATTATTGACGTTCAGGGTCCTACTGATTGGTCTAAAAGGTTCTAGATATCAGTAGGAACATGACCCCACTGAGAGTGGTAATCCAAGGCTCACTGGTCTGTCTACAACTGCTAACATTGTGTGTCTTGGTTTATGAGCAAAGTATGGAAGACTCACTTGCTATATGAATTTATTTGTTTGGAAACATGAAATTGACAATGAGTAATAATATTCCTAGATTTGAACAGCATTACTAATCTTGCAGAAAAATACATCTTCTTTTTCCATATGGTATCAGCAGTGTGGATTTTTATCTACAACTGTCTCCATTGACAACCGGTCTACAGACAGGTTCTAACAGTAACAAAGAGTTCAAAGGTCAGTTATACCTGATAACATGACAGGAACTTATAACAGAAACAACCCCTCATGCCATCCAAACATAACATATAAAGTTTAATACTGCAGTAGTTTCTACGCAAACTCTCAGATGATACATGTATGCTTTTTATACTTTCAGTAAGTTTTTTATTTTGACACAATCACTTAGGCAAGAGTCAATATTTTTATATAATTGAACATTTCTAATTGCCCTCTTCTTAAATAAATTTAATTGATGTTTCCTTCAGTTTTTTATCAAATGCTTTAGACAAAGTGTACACAAGATATGTAAAAATAGATAATTTGTGATTGATATGCCATCTAGAGTACAGTACATGGCTGTGGTTTGTTGAAGTTTCTGTACTCCGTCATAAACGTATCGTTTGTTCTTGTCTGAAAATGTACAGAATTAACCATGATAATGAGCCCACACGACACTTACATCCGGGACATACATGTACCAGGGTATCGAAATGACTGCCTTCAAGGACATAAGATGTGACATCTACAGTCTACGTTATAATGATAAAAACCTTGTATATATCACAGAAACTTGACAGTACTCACAAACAGCCATAACTCTCACAATAATAATGACGATAATAGTAAAAATATACTAAACTCCCTTACCGTACCAAGTTAACGACGTACCTACAATTTACCTGGATTATGATGTAACTATGATTCATCCGAATAATGATGGAATCTTCAGCGTTCCATGATGATGTGCCCACAATTTACCTATTTTTTCCCCCTTTAAGTTACTGTAACACCATTTGACAATCATATCTTTTTAAAAAAAAATACCAATTCACCTGGATAAATAAATAGCCTTGACGTTTCCACAAGTCACATAAGTGGAGTTAGGTGAATCCCTAATTTGGCAGTATTTATCATAATTTAAAATAATCACAAACCCAAACCCCTACGAATAATCAGCTACTTTTTTTTTTGCTGCTCTAATTTCTCTGGATCAAAACATTTAAGATTTTGTAATGGTATGTTATATGCTGCAAAATAAGAGAGAGACAACTTGGAGAGAAGGAAATAGCATGTAATATACAGTGTTACAAAAATGCCTTGGTGCGGCGTGTAGGTAAGGTAAGAAAGGTCGTCACCCACGAGGAACCACCACAAAAACGCCTTGGTGTGGCGGGTAGGTAAGGTAAGTTATGTCGTCACACACGAGGAACCACCACAAAAAAATAACAGTGTAGTAATTCACCGAGTTCTAAGGCATTACATTATGTCGTCTACGTACAACAGCATTGTATAACTGGGGCGTTTCTCACTGCGGTAGTTTCATCGATCAACAACGGCTCATATCAAAACAAAAAATTCCCATGAAAACATTTCATGTACATGAATACATAAACAAGAGATTACATTTACTGTCATACTAGTTAAAGCTTAGCTTACATCGGTTAGAAAAGAGCAAAATTAAAAACAAATATATAAACAAAACGAAACGCATACAAATTGACCTCATTAACTTGTGCTCCTGTAATTTGTAAACATGAGTATGTCTTGATTTAGTGAATGTGGAGCTAGTTTTTGATTAGTGAATACATGTATTGATTATAACATCTAATTATTATTCTTTGATAAACATCATGACACATTTGAAAAAACTGCTCAAACTACTGAGATTTAGCATTATACACATACAAAACTAAAATAAATTAAACACATAAAATAAAATACTAAAGAGATTGACATCTACTACTAAATATTACTTTCTTTAAAAGTATCTTTCTTGCATGGTTTCATATGGTTATATATCAATGTTATTTCGGCTGTAATACTAATATGGGTTTATGAAATTATATAAATCTAATTGACTAAAAGAATGAAGAGATAAAAAATAAAGTCATAAAACCAGCAGCTGTGCGGATGGGACTGATAACAGCAGTACGGCGGGCTACATGGGAATCACAACATGTAACTAGTACCTGTACACATGACGAACACTACTAGTCAAACTAAGGCCTCGGAATACATATCTATTATATATCACAAGTTTTCTATGTACTGAATATAGTAATAGTCACACAATCTTATATACACACTAATAATGCCCTACCATTAATGGTTCATAATGGAGAAGGAATGGACCGATGGGGCGGTGAGACCAATGTTAACGATGGGGGTGGGGCGATCATATTGGATGAACAAGAGGACAGAGGCAATCAATGTGGGCAATGGGGTGGGGCAATAATGTGGATAATAGGACTGGGAAGAACAATGTGGATAATAAGAATGGGGCGACCATTGTGAAGAATATAATAATGGGGGTAGGGTGATCAATGGGGACAATGGAGTTGAGACAATGTGGATAATAGGGGGAGGATATTGTTATGGATAACAATGAAGATTGATATATCAAAATGGACAATAGGGGTAAGATAAGGGTAGGTAACCATTATAGACAATGGGGCTGGGTACATCAATATGTACAATAGGGGTAAGATAAGGGTAGGTAACCATTATAGACAATGGGGCTGGGTACATCAATATGTACAATAGGGGTAAGATAAGGGTAGGTAACCATTATTGACAATGGGGCTGGGTACATCAATATGGACAATAGGGTCTGACAGTGTGTGGACAGATATACTATAATTTGTTGATATAACCTTCAAGTAGAACAGTCATATTGGCTATATTTTCCTCTGAAGTATCTAACTATAAAACACACTTCTATGCTACGACATTATGGAACAATTAGTTTTGGATTTGTCCGAAAATTGACAAGGGAAATAACTTGGGGTAAAAAACATTAAGTATTTATAATGAGGTATGTAAGTCACATGACATCAACCACTGAATAACTGTCAACAATTCCATGACCACAACGAAGCAAAATTGATAAATTCCACACTTGTCGACCCGTGTCTCCATCTGCAAATCACAATCACTGCTGTTCTGTACCCACTCAGTGGTCAAACGGTCAGCTATTGACCTAATCTGGCTGTATGTCATTCAAAAAATGGAAGTCTGTTTATTTGCATATACATATAGATGTAAATGTATAGAACAAAGCAATATGACATTATATCTGCCATTGATTAATGTCGAGTCCATGAACTAGAATGTTGATCTGATGAAATATAGCATTGATCTCGTGAAGAAAAAAACACTGAATTTGTGATGTAAGGTTGATGTCATAATAGCACAATCCTGCCACAATTTGCATTGTTTGTTGATAACCTGATTGGGTATGTTGCATTTCAGACTCCTCAATAAATTTCTGACACCATATATATTGCTGACACCATGTTGTAAACTCTCCTTGGTAAATTTCCAACATACATTCCCACCTTCTTTGACAAGTCGGATGTAGACATGTATGTATCTCCAATCTCCATTAGTTTATCCTGATCAATGAACTTACAGCTCTCGCCAAAAAGAATTCCAAAAACTAAGTAAAATAAGTCGATCCTAAAACAAAGTGAATCTAGTGCTGACTGCGGACAACAACTCTGTCTTTGTGGAAAACACTTCTCCTCAAAAATCACAGCGTAACACATTTACCATTTTCAGTGAAAAGGAACCTCACTGGAGGTTGGTTTCATCTGTAAACCTTACGAAGGTTTTTTTCCTAGTAACTGTCTATGAATTGTTGAGTCAACTCTGGTCCATGCATTAGTGCAAGGTTGCGATATCTTTCTTCTCCTTCACAGTGCAAAACCTGCCATACTTCTGCCTGCTCACTGTTCTCAAAGTTCTCCCTCATCGAGCATAGCAACAGAATGCTGAGTTCTCCCTCAAACTGATGGCATGGGGACCCTCCTCCATGATCGGCACAAAATGCTACAACAAATTTACAAACAGCGCTTGTTAGTCTTATTAAAATTGTCTGAATGAATGTACACCTTATTTCCTTGTTAATCTCTATCCTCTACACTCTACCATCCTTCTGACTCTCTCTTTCTCCTGTATACTCTACCATCCTTCTGACTCTTTGTCCTCTTCATTCTACCATCCTTCTGACTCTCTCTCTCCTCTACCACCCTTCTGTCTCTCTGTCCTCTATACTCTACCATCCTTCTGTTTCTCTGTCCTCTATACTCTACCATCCTTCTGTTTCTCTGTCCTCTACACTCCTTCTGACTCTCTGTCCTCTATACTCTACCATCCTTCTGTTTCTCTGTCCTCTCTCCTCTACCATCCTTCTGACTCTCTCTCTCCTCTACCACCCTTCTGTCTCTCTGTCCTCTTTATTCTACCATCCTTCTGTTTCTCTCTCTACTGTATATTCTATCATCCTTCTGTATCTCTCTCACCTACACTCTACCATCCTTCTGTCTCTCTCACCTGTTCTCTCTACCATCCTTCTGTCTCTCTATCTCTTCTGTACACTCTACCATCCTTCTGTCTCTCTATCTCTCCTGTATACTCTACCATCCTTCTGTCTCTCTCACCTGTTATCTCTACCATCCTTCTGTCTCTCTATCTCTCCTGTAAACTCTACCATCCTTCTGTCTCTTTCCTGTATACTCTACCATCCTTCTCTCCCTTTTGTTCTCTCTACCATCCTTCTGTCTCTCTCACCTGTTCTCTCTACCATATATCTCTGTCTCTCTTCTCTATACTCTTCCATCCTGTTTCCCCCTCGTCAACACTGTACCATCCTTTTGTCTCTCTCTTCTCTACAGTCTAATGTCCTTCTGTCTCTCTTCTCTACTTTGTACCATCCAACTATCTGTCTCTCCTCTACACTGTGCCATCCTTTTGTCTTTCTCTTCTACTCTGTACCACCCTTCTCTCTCTCTCTTCTGTATACTATGCCATTCTTCTCTCTCTCCTCTGCACTCTACCATTCTTCTGTCTTTCTCCCTTCTAAATTGTTCCATCTTTTTGTCTTTTTCATTTACACTATTTTCCCTCCAACTGTTTCCTTTACACTCAACCACCCTTTTTGTCTCTTTCTTTAGCCATTTACCAGGCCATGTTTGCCTCCCACTGAATGTAAACAACATATATACAACATATGTTTGTGTTTATCTGAGAGAGATTGCTCCCTGTCATACCTACTAGTACACCAACTCTTTCTATCATAGACCTGTAGGAGCAAGCATTAGCTCCACACCAGGCCTATACATCTTGTATTACTGCAGCAACTTATCCCATGTCTCTCCCATCCCAGCCAGGCTATCACACCGATCTCAGAGAAAGCTACAGAGAGCGAAGTCATAATTCCATGTCATCAAGTAATGTAAATGAGCATTTTAAGTAGTGATTATCACCTACTCCTAGCCTTATTAACCAGGGATTAAAAGCTGACTGGCACTTTAGGATGAATGTATACTGTCTTATGTATACATTGATGTCACTAAGAGGGCTTAGTAAACAACTCTGTATGGTAGTATATAGGCAGTATTGGTAAGGACTGGTACCTAAAATAGTTACATTAATGATCAAAACATGGATATTGTAATCATGTCAAACATTCTATTGCTGAGTGTGTGGAGTATTACATATAAGTTACACTACAGAGTAGAGTACAATAAGCTTAATAGTCAAGACCTACCCCTCCTAAGTTACATATAGTGTAACACCGAGGACACATAACATAACATTGGTCCCTAGTCTGGACCTACCCCTCCTAAGTTACATATAGTGTAACACCGAGAACATATAACATTGGTCTCCAGTCTAGACCTACCCCTCCTAAGTTACATATAGTGTAACACCTAGGACACATAACATTGGTCTCCAGTCTAGACCTACCCCTCCTATTTTACATATAGTGTAACACCGAGGACATATAACATTGGTCTCCAGTCTAGACCTACCCCTCCTAAGTTACATATAGTGTAACACCGAGGACA